AGATACTGCTAATTAAAATGGTTATTCAAATAGATGGACTAAAGCAGTCCTATATACATTTGATGGCTCACAGGAAAAATTAAACCTTCCCTTGCTCTCTTATTCTGTAAGGAGCAAGCCATATTTCTGCATCACCCCTTCATATTAGAAAAACTCAGGACAATGAAGAAAAAGTCACAAATGGATAGTATAAACAGGCACGTGATGAAAATGGGGCAAAATGAAGTCAAAGAGGAGGAAATCTGGAATCCTTTAAAGATGTCAAATATTTAAAAGTAAGCAGAATGCCATCTTTGAAGATATTTTTTTCTAGGCTACACTGAATGCATAAAGCTACTATAGAGTTACACTGGTCAACACAATAGCACCTGACAGGCTTTAGCAAGAAGTGAACCGTCCTGAATCAAGGATCAGCTGGTTGGGTTGTTTTGTTTTGTTTTGTTTTTTAATCAATCACTTCTCTCTTGTTCTTCATTTCTTGTCCCCAGTTAGACTTCTGTCCCGAGTAAACAAGGGATTTTTTTCCATTAACTAGTTAACGTTTATTTTGTCCATCTTCCTTCTTGCTTACCAATCTAGAACCCAATCCTGCAAAGTCCTTACTCAAGCGAGTGGTCTCATTAGAGACAATGGGATATACACCTATTTGACAACCTGCAGAACTGGCTCCCTCCCTACTTTTGGATAGGTGCTTCATAGTAAGAGGCAAACCCTAGTCCAGAACTCACAGCTAATACAAACAGATGCCTCTACCAGCAATAACCTTTCCAGCTAATTCAACTGCATTTTAGGCAATTGTGACCAATTCTTCTAGAAGGAAAGTGACAACTGGAAGTTATGAAAGCTTCAAACCAATCACCAAAACCAATGCAATTTTTGAAGGTGCTATTAAGCTTACAGGCACCTCCCTTTAAACGTATATTACAATGGTGGGTTAAAAACCAAGCCCAGTTTCCTGTGAACAATCTGGGGGGAAAGGGAAGGAACAGTCAAAGAAATACAGGACCAGATGGGGTGACAAGATGAAAGAAAGGGAAGGTGGGGGAGGGTGGGGAAGACTTACTATGGCTATGCAAGCAGCTACTCCACAATAAAAAAGGATGAAATATATTGTGTTATATACAGCAGCTTGAAAGAGAAAAACCCACGCATTTTGGTTCATTAACAAAAATAAAGCTTAAATGGCAGCAGCAGTCTTATCTGACAGCCTGTGTTTACATAGTTTTTATTCAGCTTTGAAAGATTGTTGCTTTGGTTACATTGCAAAGTAACCAATTTAGTTGGGGACTTCAACAAGCCCATTAAAACGCTCTTTTCAGTAAGCTACTTATTGAAACACCGGGCTCCAACGGATGAACTTCCTTCACAGATACTGTGCGCCATATACGTTGCTGAGGAAACTCTTCTCGGTTAAAGTGTTTTACAGCAAAAGCTTTACAGGAACAGTGTTACCGTTTTTATACTGAATACTGGTGTGTGTGGCTAAAGGACTGAAAGTTATTCACATTATGACTGCAGAAATCTTAAGTGTCATTTATTCCACAAACAGCAGTTCACGAGGCAGCTGAAATGGAGCCTCCTCGGGTTATTCTTCGTGTCCGCTACTTACTTGTCATGGTCAACAGAGTTCAACGTACAAGGTGCTTTCTCACTGTATTCTTGCTCCACAAAAGTATTTCCTACGGCATCTCCTGAGAACAGTTGCATGTCCCCCCTGCCAAAAGTAAGGATCGTGAAGCAGCGTTAGTAGCTCAAGAACCGGCCGGCCACAAAGCCAACGGATTCAGACTGCTCTTTCCTCAGGAGGTTCCAAAACCACGCTAAAAGCTGCCAGCCTAGGTATGAATCGATTAACAAGCAGGTGGACACAAGCGATACAAATCGTAACATCGCCACAGGTTAAGGTTTCATTTTTTCCTCCTACAAATTCTCTCGTGTTACGTAATTCTACATACAGACCGTACAACAAAGCAGATTCACACTACAATACAAATGACACAAGTCTGGTTGACCCATTTAACGCAGGTTCCAGATCACCCAAGCCTGCAGACTACGCCATTAGCTGCCATATTTACAATATAGACAGTTACCAAAAAAACACCCCCAAAAACTGGCAGCTAGAAACAATCAGCTCTCTCGTTCTTTCCAGAGTGGCTCCCAGTATTCAATTCAATGTTCCTACAACGGACCCTTGAATTGGTTTCCAGAAAGGTGCTGCCGGATGGATGGTTTGGAACTGGCTGCATCACCCAGCTTTCGCCAGACAACCTGAAAGACAGGAGAAGAGGGAGGGAGGGAAATAGATTGTAGCTGATGAGCAACATTATTTATGTTAAAGTGTAGTTCTTAAAACTCTGCTGTAATTCTAAACACAGCCATTAGATGGCACCTATGCATCAAATTACTGTGCATGGCTTTTCCAGAGTTTATCTAATTAGACAGTCTTGAAATTAGATCTAGTTTTGCCTTAGGTAATTGTACCAAACTAATAAATTAGGCTCAGAAGCCAAATTCAGTGCTCGGTCAGCACTGGCACACTAACAAAATGATGTTCCTTTAAGATAAATTATTCCAAAAAACCATATTCAATGGTTTATGTTATTTATGTGCCGTGTCCTTTAAAAGCAGATTTTATAATCTGTTAACACAGAAAAGAACCATTGGGGGGCAAAGTGGGTAGGAAAGGACAAGATGCAGTAATATTTCTATGAACCCTGTCAAATGTCAATCAAAAAGTCTGAGTTTAGATAAACAAAATTTCCTTTAAATTAAAAAAAAAAAAAAAAAAAAAAATAAAAAAAAAAAAAGAGAGAAGGGGGGGGTTGTTTTTTTATTTTTTTTTTTTTTTTAATTTTTTTTTTTTTTAAAAGGTTTTTAAAAATTAAAAAAAAAAAAAAAAAAAAATCAAAAAAAATCAACCCATAAGTCACGGACTTTTGTGAGATGTAGGATTGCAAAGCTGGCATGCCTCTTGCACTGTTGCTGGAAGAAACTGGCATTAAAAAAAATATCAATTTTAAAAAACCAGGACCACTTTTTTATTCAATATTGGAATTTACCTACAACTCTAAATATCTAAAACTGAAGGTCCTCATGTCCTGCAGGGAGGGATTAACTATAGCATGTGTATATGCAGGAACTAGAAATTATTCTTTTCACCCTTTTCAGGACAGGCTAGAAAGAATGTTTTATTTGCCTCTGCATAGGGTAAGCAAGAATACCCAGCGAGCAAGCTGTTTCTGTGCTAACTGCCTAATGGCATACTTGTAAGGATGCTGTCGTGAAAAGAAGACATTGAGCTTTCCAGCAATGTTCTTGCATTTCAGGGCTTTAAAACACCCCACTGCAACTGAGAGAAATTTAAGGAAAAATTTGCCTCTTCTCTGCAATATGGACACACCCAGAAGTCCAGTAATGCTCTGACCTGCAATATAGATTTCAAAAAGAAGGATCCAAGAGTCCTCACCCTTGCTCTGGAAAGTCTGCTATTGTGGAGCAAAAAAAAAAAAAAAAAACTCTCAGAAGC